CTGGCGCGCCACGGGTTCATTGTCCCGTGTGTGCCCGTGGTGGAAGCCCCTCGTTGAAAAGGAGGGCCCGTGTATCGGGCGTAATATGTCGACGAAATATCGGACATCATAGGGAACTTACCAGTTATCCAACTTGATCAGCTCCTCGGGTTTTTTCGTCTTATGATCAGCCTTGAGTCTGAGGGCCTGCGGATAAAGCTTCAGGACGTGTTCGAACTGACTCGCTGTGCCCTCCGCGAAGAAAGTTGCTGTGTCTTTCACGGAAGCCATTGTGATAACTGAGCTTCGACGAACGGCCGTTGGGGCGCAGCACTAACGCCTATGTGCACTATACACGTCTTTGTCGCTCCCCCTCAAGAGTCTCTATCCTCTTTCTCCTTCTCTTTCCTCTTCTATCTTCGTCCAGCGATGTCTCACTTTCTTTCCTTCTCCCTCTCTCACTTCTCCGTGCACCCCTCTCCGCGCGTGCCACGGGAGAGGACCGACCACGCGAGAAATCCTATTTTACCCTCTGACTCGTTCGAATTCTCTCGGTTTCACCGGCGGCGGTGATACGCGACACACGCGTGGGACGCGTTCACGATCGGCGCACACACAGTTGATCGGTGAGAAAGAAAATATCGACGATAGCACGCGTATAAAGCGGACTTCACTACCAGTCTCTTTCTATCTCTTTCTCCTTCTGGCTGTTTTTCGATTTCCTTGAAATATATTTCTTCACGTTTCCAGGATGATATTCTAGCTTGATACTAGTCACGATATATTATACGTACAGAGATGTTTACACGGAACGTGATGTGTTGCAGAGCTACGAGGTCTCGTGCGTACACTCTCGTAAGGGAAAATCACCGTAGCTGCACGCCGAGAACTCGCCTTCGGACCTCGTTCGACTGTCCCGGGTGGGGAGCGCGACTCGACGTCGCCAATAGGGAGCAGCACTGCTCGGCGTGTTTCTGATTTCTCTCTTTTCCCCTTAATACCTCTCTCTCTTTCTCCGTCACGTCCTTCCACCTCTTTTCCACCACCCTTATTATTTGTACAGAAAATTTCAACCGTTGCGTGCGGGCACGCATGCACGAGGATCAACGATAAATAATACGGGATAACGATAAATAATAGGATCAACTTCTGTAAAAGTAATATTACAATTTTATTCTTTTAAATACGACAATAAAGGAAACGTAAAAGATACGCGGCAATCGGAACGCAAAGAACCTCCTTTCTCCTCTCAAGTCTCTGTCGAGCACTTGAGAACACCCGGGTTTCCCTCGGCGCCAGATCCTTCTTCTTTTTTTCCCTCGCTCTCTCAGAGAGCTTCGTACGAATACATGCGGTTTCCCCGCCGGATGTCCGCGAAGTATAGACTGTCTCCCCCACCTTTTAGTACTCTTCGTACTCACACATCTATAGTAGAACTCTCGGAATACACACGGGTTCTAGCGTACTTCAATCGTCCGCGCGACTATACACGCGAGTTCCGTAAGGGTACGTACCCCCTTTTCGCTCTATTTACTCACAATTGTTTTTGATTCTCGTGTTTGCCAGGACTTGTTGTATGGACGGTTCTCATATAATTGTTTATATACCTTCGAGTCAAGCAGGAAAATTTCACGCTGAAGCGTCGACAAAATCCCGTTGACGATCTCATCGACGACAAAGATGACGGTGATGATGATGAAGACAACAAGGACAGCGATGAACGGCCGCTGTCTTTTTCCTTCGCGAGAAATGGCCTCGGTTTAACTCTATCACACGTCCACCTCCGTACGAATCACCACGTTCGATGGCTATGTACGCGCGCCTGTCTCTGCACGACTCCTCACACTGTGTCTCTCTGTCTGCCTATTTGGTTGAGCGCGTGTGAGTGCGCGCGCGCATACTTACGACCGACCGACCGAGCGAGCGAAAGAGCGGGCAGAACGAAGCTCGAAGCCTTCACTCGAAAAACGGGAACACACGGAGTGTAGTGCGCGCTTAAGCAAAGACCACGTATAGCCAATCGTTTGCTCTCACTGTATACTGACTGTAGTGAAACGGCCGACCGACTGAGGGCAGCGCCTTCGCTGCCTTCTGCTCGTCCCCTTTTCCTCTTACCTCTCGGGACACTGCACCACCACTAAAGCGCCCGACCCTATCTCCCCTCTACATAGATCCGCTCCCACTCATTCCCCCTCTCTCTCTTTCTCTCTCCTAGCCTTCTATATATCTCTATTTCTCTTTTATTTCTGATCTATTTTTCCTAATACGTAAAACGAAGGAATAGAAGTAATGTGAAATGCATTTTATCATATATAATATTTCATTGTTGTGAAATTCGTTTTGACGACAAACTGTATTATTTCTCGCGCGACCCCTCTTCGTAGACTCTCACGAGCAGCGGACGCGCTCGATACCTCCTCGTGAAGGCGCGCACCGTTC